ATATGTTTTCATATAACATGTGTTAACCTTTCTGAAGTAGTACAGTGTAAGATTATATTAGATGGATATTTGCCTTTAGCAGGACAACTTTACTAGCAATCTTAGCCACGATGACGGACAAAACATTTACTAAGAAGTAAAATTTCACCCACGCTCCAGTATGGGTTAATACTGTACTACTGCTTCAAATGTGGAGAGCAAATCTTCAGCTGACTCTTAACAAACATCTTTTGAGTGGAGTGATTACAATTAGATAAGCTTTTGTTTAAAAAACTAAAAAGTAACTTTAATTCAAGCAACTACAGATGCTCAATTACACTGAGCAAAAATATAAATATTTTCGACAGAGAGCTGCAGCCAAGATCACATGAAAGCAATCTGAAAAGGGGGGTGCTGAAAGCAGCAGCATAAGCTATGAAAATGTGACACGTACAGCTCATGTGTTCCAGGTTTGATGCACAAGCCTGAGACACATGCCAGTCTGCACAGACAAAATAACAGGCCTTTGTGTGTGTGTGTGTGTGTATGTGCGTGTAAATGATTCACTTTGGTCTTTATGGGAACAATTTGGGGTTTTGAAGTGAAGTGGTTGTCAAATCCAAAGATGGATTATTTTCCATACAATGTGTGATTAAGTCATTAAAGTGTAGTATAAAAAGTGAGCCAACTGCTACCAGATGGTGGGTTTTCTCTGAGCCTCACGTATAAGAAGCTCTACTCTTAACTAACGCACAGTAAACATCTTAAATAAAGCCTCTCCTAAAACTTGCATATGTGTGTATGCCCAACTGCACCCACACACCTCAGGCTCCTTGATCTTCTCCATCGTGATGAGCCTTCGGGATGTGTGGCTGGACAGAGTCTGTTCACAGTTGCTGACGAGAGAGAGGCAAGGGTGTAATGGCACCATCTCTTCACAGTACCTGCAGGTGGAAGGGCACAAGGCATCATGCTTTAGCAAAACATGAATTAAAACACCAAAAGCAATGCTCCATGCAAACCTGCATAATTCACAGTAAACAATGTAATAACATAATGTAATAATGTTATTTAAGGCTGTTAATGCATTTTCCTAGTATAACTCTTTGGACCATTTGTAGTAGTCTAGACAGAAGCCCAGGTGCTTGCGCACTGCATGTTACTATAACCAAATCGCGATTGTAGCACCACTTATTCCAACACAGAATTAAATTGGCCTTTAGAGCAATACCTTTGGCACCTTTGGCAGACTGTGCTGGATGGTGCTCACAGGAGATCTGTAGATAAATAAATGAGCAGCAAACTAACAAAAGCAGCAGCAAAGTGGAAAACACATTTCATTCATGAGCTGTATGAATGAACGTGAAAGCAAGAGGATACAATTACAAAGGAGGACTTTTGAATTGAACCTGCGTCCCGCCGTAAACGTTTTTTTGTGTTTTAATGAAAAATATTATTATATTATGTGTGTACAACTGTTCAGAACTGTTCAAAGCTGTGTCAGCTAGTCATGTGCTGGCAAGTGTTTTTAAGTTGTGCTTTAGAATATAATTTCAGCAATTAAGAGAAATGCAAATAATCACAATGAACTACTCAGAATAATTTTATAAATTATGATTATTTTAATCATTTGACAGTTATAATTTCAATACATTAAAATAAATAATTAATGCTCAAAACAGTGTATCAAAATTTTAAACTGGATCACTGGTGTATCCCAATGGTCAGTCATTTGCCATAGTTCATGGAAACCACTGTGAATGATCAAACTAGGCACCTGGGTGCATCCATTTGTAGCAATGTAAAATGGAGAGGGGAGTGACTTATGCTATGCATGCACACATAAACTGGGCTGTTTTTTCTAATGCTTCTTATAGCCTGAGGGCTTATTTAATTATCGAGAATCAAACTAAATTTTGACCTTAGAATCGAAAAATTTAAAATACACGTATCATTACACGTTATTCACGTTACTAGTACATATCTTCCTTCCAGTGTGCCCTTACCAAGCAAAGTGTTTATACAGCCGACTTAAAGATACACATACACCTCCATCCAATGGTTTACCCGCTGGTACTGCTGTCACCTAGGAGAAAAACATCGTTTCTTTCCAGGAAAGGGCACTCCGGAGAGCGCTCTCCACAGAAATCATCTGACAGCTCTTCAGAATATAGAGCTGTGAGTCAGAGTGAAAGGATGCCACCGATCCCAGTATGCCTTAATGAGACTGATTAACTTAGAGCTCATATGGATTACATTCAGCTCGGCTTTAACCTTGTGGTGCCCGTGCTCTTCTAAGGCCTGGACATACTTCAAGCGAGCCAGCATTTGTTAGGCTTGAGCAAAATCCAAAACAACATTGGCAAGAGAAAAGTTTTCACACTCTCCATGCATTTGCTTGTTTTTGTTTCACGCTAGCATGAGCAGCTAGGAGGAATTAAGGGACTTTTTCTAAGACTGAGAACAAGCTCAAAGGCTCACCTTTCATTCGTGATGCCATGTTTACTAAGTTCAGTTAGTCGGCTGATGTGGGCCTTGCCAAATATTACTCCATGCCACTGCCGAATTTAGATCATACTGTTCTCCCTAACTAGGAGTGCACCATCTCTATACGTTGTGCAGCAAATCAGTCAAGTGTCAGAAAACAAAAATGGACCAATATTTAACATTTTTGTCCTTTGAAGCATAAATAGAAGCAGGAAATAACACTTACACTAAATTAACATACACTGAATGAACGTCATTATTTCACTAACAAAAGCCATAGCTTCACCCTCTGATATTGACCCGAGAGTATGAACATGCTCACCTGTAGCTAAAATGGACTGTATTTCGTATTTGTCTTTCTAATGACATGGAACAGATACTGAATTTATACACTGCTTACTGTATACATCTGTTGTTAAGATTAAATAGCTGTTAGGCTGAAATGTTATTCTGAATATTTTGCAAAGCGTACCCATACGCCTCAAATAAACCCTGAAATTCAGTCAGTGAGAGCAAAATCATCACCCTTAAAACTATTTCCTACTGTGGCTCAAATTAGACATGGAACATCACAATGGTGTAATACAGCAGATGTAACAGATGTCATTAGACTTAATGACCCTGCATGCCAAGAAAATGATGGAAACTCAGCTGTGTGGTGTTAGTTTTCTGCTTAACTTTGCTAACATGCTTCAGATAACCACCCCTGTAATGCTTTTCCATCATTACAAAAAGTGGAAGGGACTAGAAGTGTGGCAGCTGGAACACTGCAACAGCTACAATACAGATAAAGGAGGAAACTGGCTAATGAGTTCAAGGAAAGGCAGAGTGTGTTAATGCACAGCAGAGGCTGCGCTCCTTACAGTGACAGAGGTGTTTAATTGGTGTGGGGGTTGATGGTGAGCTCACCCCACAAGCCCGTGTGTGTTCTGCTGGGGGAAACTACGTTGGTTACACCGCTGACTGCTGAGGCCCAACAGGTCCAGATTCCTGCGGCAGTCGTCCCCTCTTCCGACACCACTGTTTATAAACAACAGTGTTGCTACACAAATCCTCGCTCCAGAGACAGTCAGTCAAAGAGGCCCACAGAACACCAACACCAACCACCAGGGGATAGTGCCCCCTTATGGATGCATTAGAGTTGCTCTAAGGTGCTAATAAGAAGTGCTTTTCATTCATGTTCAGCAGAGGGGTAAAGTACATATATCTGAAGATTGTGATTCAGCTATATCAATTTTAGAATGTGATTACTTATTATAATCAATTATACCAACATGCAGTAAAGTATGTCCTAATTTTTTGGCCAAAATAAAATCTTGAGCTACTTTTAAAAATCCTGTAATCCTTTTTTAATTATCCATATTCAATTACTGTGTGAAAAGTCCTCCAGTCTCATTAGCATGCTCTGTGTATTTTTTCATAATTCTGAATGATATCAAAATAATCTAGTTCATCTGTAGTGAAATCTGAGGATCTGAGGTCTATGTGGTCACATCTCTCTTTAAGCCCTTTATGTCCATCACTGCAGCCCCACACATTCAGGTCAGTGGTAACAAGATACCTATACCCCAAACCCTGACCTTACACCGGTGTTCAGCTCTGTTTAGTCTGCATGTGTGATAATATGCATTAGTTTTGGCATTAGGCCCTGAATAAGTCACATAGGACAAGATGGGATCAGGAGCGCCTGCACTATAAGTCAGTAGGTTTCAGCATTCTTCCAAGATCGGTTTTATGGAATCCTGAAAGCAGGCACCAAAAGCATTTCTAATTGAACAAAAGCAGGCATGCAAATTTTAGATATGCTAGGTATGTAACAATACACAAAATTGAAAAGTCAATTTAATATGATACAGTGCTGTTTTGATACATACAATGGAAATAAGAAGTACCTAAATATGTGCATTGTGTTCATATACTAACGTTAATATGTTAACTGCACTATGTGTACAGTTTACATGCATACAGTTTACATGCATGCGCAGTCAGGTTTGACATGATTTTCAGTTCTGATCATGAGATTCAGGTGGATTTTCTATATTTTGTATGTTAAAAACGATTCTACAAAGCTCTTAATTATACTACACAGGAGGGTCTGGCTGAGATAAATACAAGTTCTCCAATATAACCTTTTCAACACTTGCCGCACCACCTTCTAACAAAATAAACACCCAAAATAACAACCCCATGAATTTGTAACTGATATGCAAAAAGCTCCATCATACACACACACACACACACACACACATACATACATACATACATATACATATACACATATATATCATATAAATATATATGTGTGGTCAGTAGGCATTTATTTGTTCAGAAAACAATAAATTTGCTCAGATTACAATAAATACAATTACCATTAAAACAATAAGTAGTAATTATACATATATTAAAGGGTTAGCTTACAAAAAAAAATCAACTACTTTTATAAAATATATATATATATATATGTTTTATTACTTTTTACTGTGATTATGTTTATTTGCATTTGTTGACTTTTGAATAATTGAGAATTATTATCAAAATAAATGGCTTTAAATAAGACTTTTTCACAGCTACATATATTCATTCCTGGGATATATTCACCCCATACAACAGGTAAGTATTTAAATAATACAGAGCAGGCTGAAAGTATTACTGTTTGAATCAGCAAGCCTGGTGTTGGTTTGTATATGACAGATGAGGTAAGTGCTGACTGTATATCAGATCACAGGCTGTGGGGCCTCACCAGCCCTGTAATCAGTGGGTTTCAGACTGCAGGCTGCATGGACAGGACCGTGTGTAGTCAGCAACTGCAGAAGCTGAGCGGAATGTCCCTTTTTTCCACCTGCTCTCAAGCCAGCAGGCCTCAGCAAGTCCAGCACCCAACTTAGAATGAGTGGCTCATACTACTGACACTGATGCAATTTACAACTGTCACGAAGTGTCAGACTGCCCCCTAGTGATCTATATTCAACAAAACATGCAATTCTGTATGTCCATATGCTGTCTCATCATAAAGCAACGGAGTGTGTCTGTGGAGCTAAAAAAGTTAAAAAAAAAAAAATAAATAAAAAAACCTTTGTGAAAACCGAAGGGACTATGAAGACCAACACAGTGCTGAAACAACAGAACAGACCACAGCCGTGCATTGTAGTAGTACTGCAACTGCAGGAGGATAATTATGCTTACTTACTCTGGTCTATAAATAGGAAGCCAGTAAACCAGCCGTCCACCCATGACCAAGTGATGCGCTGCAAAATTTAACAGGTCAGCAAAGATGTCACTTAGATGGTACGCCATGGAAACAGGGACATGACTCTCACCAGAACTGCAAGAGAGCAAAAAACACAGCACCATTCAGCAGAGACATAAAAATTGACATGGTATATTTAATACATAAAATATGCAGCACAAGGGGATTTAAAGGGCTAAAAACGTAATATGAAATATACAAAAAAAACTTTAGATAGGAAGATAAGAATCATAATAACAAGAATGTAAAATCATTATTAAAAAAAAACACAACAGACGAGTTCACTAATAAGTAAATATGGCTGCCAAATTTTAACATGCAGTTTGTTTCAGGTTTTAGAGAGAAGCAAGCAATACATTCTACTGGCCATGTTGCAACATGTTCATTATTGCTATAATAATGTATTAATAGTGTATACCAGTGATGAATTGATGAAAATGAAGTTAAATCATACACAGTGCACAGCATGTAGCACCAAACAGTACTAGTTCCTGAAGACTAAATAGAAAAACAAAACAAGAGTTTGAACATCACCCTTACTGGATGGATGGCTTATAGCCAAGCTTAGTGTTAACCGTGTACTTTAAAAATGCATGAAGAAAAGGAAGATAAACTTACAAGTCTTCAGGAGGACTCATGATCTCTTTGTGAGAACCTGTTCTCCTTGTTGATTCACGAATGCCATAAGGAGCTGCAAAACAGACAGAACAGCACCCATCAGCATTCGCATAAGTTGAACTAAAAATATTTTATTAGGAAACACTTGAAAAATATCATCAAAAATCATTGTCTTGATCTCAACAATAAAAATTAGTCAGACATCTGAACAAATTTTACATTTTTTTACCATTTAAATGAAATTTTAAGCAGTTTTTGTTGTATGTGTAAGACTGAAACATATCAAAATCATCATATGTTGATTTACTAGTTTGTCTGAAAGTTGTGCTGTTCATGTCAAAAAAATAAACAAATAAAGATGTGCAAATAAGGTGAAAAACTGAATATCTGAACAAAGTCAGGTGAAGTCACCTTAATTTAAATAGCACTTTTAAAGACTACAAAAAAATCCATTCCATTAATTTGAATTAATTTGCATTATTTATGAGAAAACACATGCAAAAATACAAAAAAGCATGAGAACAAGGGGTAGAGGGTTGCTTTTTAAAAAATCCAAGATTTTCAGCAATGGAAATGGACAAAATATGTTGTGAAAAGGTGGGAAATAAATTACTGTAAACATACGGTCTGTGATTATGGCATCGAACAGTGCTCCATTCCTCCATACAGGCTTAGAGGCATCAGACACCATGACATCCACATACAAGCCCTCTGTCCCATACTGACGCAGGTTTGCTCTGATATTCTCATCCGGACCCCGCCACTTCTGATTCTTCCTGCTAGCCTTTCCTGCAAGACATTTAACACAGACACTATTAAAACACTGCACAGCAGGGTTAGGTTAAGCAGCTTCTTAGCCACCTAAGAACATTTATGAAATTACAGGACTTCAGTTTCCTAAAGAGAAGTGTGTCACCATTAACTGGACATTATTTACCTACTCCATGGATGGTGTTGTAATCAATGTCTGTCCCACACACGTAAGCCCCAAAGTGAGAGCATGCCACCAAAAGGCTACCTAAATGAGAAAGAATGGAAAAGAGAAAGAATGAAGAAATCAAGAAAGAAAATGGTGGTCTTCCACAGGCTGTTTTTACGGAGTTGTAAAACTGAAATCAATAACAATAGCACTTTAGTTTAATTTAGACATTTCCTTTCCAGCTGTAAACACAACAGCATCTAAAGCTTGTGAGGAGAACTCTGCCCGGGCATGCCCAGCCCTTCCACTGAAAGTGGTAGTAAATTAGCACATCTGGCCAGCAGATCTCACACCTCAAATAGCGATGGCAGACGCTTATGATAAAGTCTGGCAGAAAGACAGGAGCCACAGCACGCTATGTATGGAGCCGTGGCACGGCCAGGCAGGAAGGGAGAGGAGAGTGCAACTCAACGCTGCACAGACACTATTCCCTAATGTGATTGATGACACAGACTACAAGCTTTTGAGGTCAAAAAAGAAAAAATAAAATATGTGGGCCATGAGATGGAAAAACATTTGACTGACTATATGGAATTCACGTTTCCATGAGCAGTCAAAAATAACCTATAGAGAAAGACGTCAGCTCCTGGCTCCTGATAAGAGAGAATGAAAAGCAGTGAATAGAACTATGCCTCCTTCATCATCCAGACAGACTGAGTCACCAAACAAACTCCTGATTCAGCTGCAAATTAAATGCCTGCATCGCACAGCTTTAAAATAAAAAAGGCAAGCAAATGGGAAATGGGTTTTTATGTATTATTTTTGTATAATATTATAGACATTATCTAAGAAAATGTGTTTTATCTTAGATCTGCTGCTTATATTTAATTATTATTAGTCCACAATATATTTCATAAAACACTCAACATGACTCATCAAATGCAGAAACTGAGACTGAATTTTTTTTAATAAAAAATTAGCCATTAATCTAGTAATGTACAGTATGACAAAATGGACTGAGTCATATATGAGAAGTATACTCATACAATTAGCAGTGAATTTAATTTTTAATGTACTCCTACAAATAGCATTTTGTAGTGACTAGTGCCAATTTAACTATTTTTATTTTATATATTTCTTTTTCATTGGACAGAAGAGCTCCTCAAAAAAACTAAATAGCCACTTCACTAGTACAGAATAAATTGAATTTTCTGGTCAAACAGTTGCAGTGGACAGAACTTCCAGAAAAGCGTAAACAGACCTGTTAAATGCTAGTAACATCCTAACATGATATAAATGTGGGAAAAAATAAAAATGTAAAAAGCCTTTATGGTTGGGATGCTCAATTGTTTGCATGGAAATCTTTGTAATCAATTTGCACAATCAGGTACAGGCAGAAAATTGCAAAGCAATGTTGCTACATAGCAATATTTAGAGGGCATGGATTTCAACAATAACAACTGCTTTTCAAGCAGTGATTATGAAGCCACATTCATGAAACTGTGCTTTCTTCAGAGGTTGCTGTACTTTCATGTTTACTCAGCTATAGTGACCACCGCAAAACTGCAACCTGTCCCAGAACAGCTCGTAGACATTTAGCGGGACATCAAACGAACTTAACATGTAAACACACATTCCTTGACTTGCCAAAACAGCAATGGACGACATTTCTGTTCATTACCCAACCAGATTTTTCAGCCACTATATAGCCATGATTTTCAGCCATCACAAATAAAGTGATCATGTATAAAGTAAGGTGGATTTACATCATGAGAATGAGGTTTGATCATTATAGTTTCAAAAGCTTACAGCTGAGTTTCCAGACAGGTTTGACAAGCTTTCAGAGTGTGCATGAATAGATTAATTAAACGTCATGCTGTCCTTGAAAAACTGTAATTTGGTGATTTTTTTCCTCACCTGTTCCCACAAAAGGATCATAGACCAGATCATGAGCCTTTACTTTGGCATGGTTGGCCATTATGAAAGAAAGACCTGCATCCATACTGGTGTTCCCAATGAAATGCCTCTTCTTCACACTGTGAGAGCGGATCAGTTCCCTTTGCCCATCTGCAATCTGAGGGAATAGTTAAAAATGTGATGCTCTCAAATATGAACAGCTACTAAAGACAATGAGGGACAGAATTTTTTAAATCATCATTAACGTAGTATTTTATTTCTCATTCCAAATTTGTATAAATACTATTCTGCTTACTGTTGTGGTTTAAGAATATCAAAATGAACTTTGACTCACCCATCTCCCAAAATATATATGGAATGGCTCCTCTGGGATGTCATTAGGATCTAGTCCATAGTCTTCTAATAAACAAAAAATGTGATCGGGATCCTTCAGACTTACTCTCCCCTTAAAAGGCAGGTAACCCAAAGCCTACAGAGAGACAGCAACTTTTACACTCTACACTTCATTAAAAACCTCACACACCTGACATCACAGTGCAGTTTCAGTTAAACATTTTTAATGCTTGTCAGACGAAAAAAGAGAAGTCAGCAGTGTGAGCATTAAGAGCCGAGTTATGTCAATAATATACTGGAAAACTGAACAGTGTAAGAACAGAATACTCACGTCTATCTTCTCTATTCTGTCCTTGAACAACAATGTCTTATTGAAAGTGTAGACATTAATCTTGTATGTTGATTCTTCTTGTAGAAAAGGAGTCTGTGTGTACAAAAATGCATGGAACTTTAAGAAGAAATGCACATGAAACAATAAGTGGCGTAATTTGGCAATCAAGCAAGTGACACAAACCATCTTCTCTGTGGGATACTCCAACAGCGATGACTTCAGCTCTGCAGCCGTTCTCCCATGTCCCCAAAGTTCAAACACAGACCTTAAAGTTAAATGCACACATCTGTAACAAAATCGCAACTATAAAGTTTCACAACTAAGTTCAAATAACACCTCTTAAAAAACGTAATGATATTTGATATTCTGAAAATGTAATAACATTTTGCACAAGGGTTGGATTTTATCTTTCACAAGTAAGGGAAGAACTTACAGTGCTGGCTTCTCAGCGGTAGATTAAAATACAAATAACTGTAACCCTGATCAAATGATCTATGAAGAAAAGCATAGCGCAAATTATTCTGTCAATGTTTATTCTTTGTGTCATGAATTTTACTTACTTGGCGCAGACCGTTCTTGACATGACACTCTGCACATCTTCCTCTGAGAGGCCATGTAGCCGCCAAAACGGAGACTGAGGAAGAAAAAATTATACTGGTTGCAATTACTTGCAAAATCTTTTCATCGCTTTTTTATTTTTTGCTGATCATTTTATGAACTGTGCACCTTAATTCAAACTGTGAAAATGAAGGCAGCATCAGCATTTTCAGTGGTCCATTTTCACTGTTTCAGAGGAAAAACAAACTGTCCTGCCACTTAAAAATCCTAAATCCATGTCTACATATACTTAATTTAACCTTAAACAGTGCTAAGGGGTGAGTTTAACATAAAACAAAACTCTATCTACTGATGATGATTTGTGAAATGAAGGCAGCTGTTTTCACCTTTTCGCTGAAGGTCTCTGATGGATCACACTGTCGACCCCTAAGTGCCAGCAATGCTTTTAATTCCTGAAAAGAAAGCAAGCACATGTAAATGTAATGGAAATCATTACCAGAACTGATGTTAAGAGATTCCATTCATAAAAGAAGCAACGTCTAATGATGTTAGCTAGCAAGCTAACAGTATTTTCCTACATGCTTTCAGCTGTGAAAAAGAAACAACCTCTCGTATTGAGAGAGTACAGTGCTGAAGGGGTTTAGATTCATTACCGGTAATCTGAAGTCCACATTGTCGTGTGCTAAATGCAGTAAATACCGTCGGCATGTTTTTCCACAGTGCAGCGCCATGTTTGAGTGCAGCAGTCTGTTCGGCTGAGCGCCGCGGCTTCATGAACACAGTTCCTACCTGCTGAGGTGCGGCTTCACTCAAACTCAAACCACTGCAAGGAAAAGACGACTGTGCGCAGTTTGGGAACATCTTTATTCACGATACGAGACGGTTTTACTTGCCGTCATTCGCGCTTGCTGTTAGAATAAAGGATAGATATGCTCGGACGTGTGTTTCAGAGGATGTCAGTACTAAATTTATCTCTTAATCTGATTTAAACGTAAACATTTTGAGACTAGGCGAGACTCTCCTGTCACGGTACCGCGTAAAAACAGCAGGTCTAGAAGCGGATCAGCAGCTCTGACTGTGTCAGTACCGAGTTTTTACGGGTCAGTCAGTGAACCTGCAGCTCTATCAGTGTCTGCGCAGCTCGGCTCAGCTCTGCGCTGGCAGGGCGGCTCTGGATCACAGAGGAGGTGAGTGGACATCTGCTCCTCTACACTTCTGTGATCTGACATATACACACACGACTCTTTTTCTTTCGCTATTTTTAAATACTTCTCATGTTTTTTCCCTTTTTATCTCTTACTACTTTCTTCGTATATAAATTCAGTCACTGCTCGAGTGTGACTGCGCACTGTCTTTAGCTATTGCTAAGTTACTGCTTACTTTATACACTGAATATGTTTACTGGACATAAAACTAAAGTATGCTTTTATTTAATGAACGTGTCTTCTTTTGGAGTAGGCTGTGTTGCAACTGCCCATAAATGGGTAAAAAATGCACTTTAGTCTACGAGTAGCTCACTAAAACAGCCTACTTTTTATTTAAGAACAAAGACAAGTGCTGTTTACAGTCTGTCGCCCTTGGTTGTACTTTACATTTTAAATTATTTAAAGGGTCACTGTCGTTCGATCTCTTACTCGTAGACTGTACTGGATTTCGGCATGTGGGCCATCGGGTTGGGACACTTTAAAGGACAATTTCTAAATTCAATTTCTAAATTTCAAAATTTCTGCATAATTACAGCGCTAAAATATAAACAAAGATATACCGAATGGTTTTATGTAAAATGGGGCACTGTGGAGAAACTTATCAACTCATATTTTGTTTTACAGTTAAGGTAACAGGAACCAGGGGTCCAATGTCTGTAACGCAAATACAGTAACTTTATTTACTATACAAAACCACCACACGTCTTCTGAGTTTCTGTATGCAGGGTTTATAATGATAAAATACTGGTACATCTGAAAGAATACATTTTCTTTGGCTGCTGTTTCGCCTTGCAATATCCTGCATGGTTCTCTCCACCATGAATGTGTTTAAAAAATCAATTTTCTGCCAAAACATTATCATAATGTCTCGTACATCAGGCAGCATGTTAGTAATCATTTAATGTTTTTAGAGCAGTAAACTCTTCTGCCTGTCTGGTTCCTGTGAACAACTCTGACTTCGTAAGTTCAAACCCCTCAATGACTTTGTTTACATCTTAACTATTGAATTATTTCTAAATAAGCCAAAAGAAATACTCTAAATGGGTTGATTAAGTAATTATTTAATTTGGAAGCAGAAGAAGGGTTTTATCATTCAGGAGCAACTTTTGTGACCCATATTCCCTCATACACTGTATGATCCATAAACCTGAATCCATCCTCTGCAGAGCTGAAGAAACACTACCTGGTTCACACTGTTTCTTGTTCCAGAGGAGGCTGCTGTGAAAAGTGGCTGCATGCACTGTGAAGTAAACCATGGAGACAAATGGGTCACCAGAGCCGTGTGAGGGCACAGCAGACACTGGTGAGGTTTCTGTTAAGGGATTAACACAGAGCTGGATGAAATGGTCCAGTGATCATCAGGAGTATCAAAAACAAAATCCCTTCAGCAACGACAAGGCACCGGCTGTGCAGCTGCAGCGGGGTCAGCAGGGCTACGGCAGGCCACCGGAAGGCTCTAAAACAGAGCAGAGAGGGCAGGACGCTCACTCGCATGTCAGCAAGGAGGTTCAGGAACTGTGTCAGGTCATCCGAGAAATTGGCAAGAGGCAAGGGGACGGCAGACCAGCCGTGCAGTTCGGAGCACTGTTTGAACACTATGTGAGCGTCTCTAACAAGGTAGTAGGTGTGCTGCTGCGAGCCCGGAGGCAGGGGCTGGTTCATTTTGAGGGGGAGATGCTGTGGCAAGGAAGAGATGACCAAGTGCTAATCTCACTGCTTCAGTAACTGAATGTGAGGAGTGACGCTGTGTATGTAAGAGAAGAAGCTGTGCAAATGAACAATTAGCCGACATGTCTAGACCCTGGAGCAGAGGTCATCAATTCTGATCAAAGAGGGACAGAGTCCAGCACAGTCTGGAAATAAGGGGTTAAGTAGGGAAATACACCAAAACTTGTGCTGGACATCATCCCTCTAGGACTGGTATCAATGATCTATACCATAGAGCAAGGATGTCTATTCTTATCAGCAAAGGTCAGTGTGGTTACAGGTTTTCATTCCACCAAAGCAGGAACACATCTCACCAAGTGTTTCATGACTGAGACCAAATTATTTAATGAGTAGAATCAGGTGTACTTCAGCTTGTTTGGAATGAAAATCTGCAGCCACACCAGCCCTTTGTGGACAACATTGGACACCCCTGCCGTAGAGCATGTTTTTAAGATTGAGAACATTAGTTAAACTAGACATATTAGCCTTAATTATCTTGTAATTGCTAAGAGTTTAAGCATACATTATAAAAATGACACTGTGGTTGATAAAATGTAAAATGTTTACCTACAACAATAGTGTTAACATAGCTATTAAAGCTTTGAAATTAGTCTCTTCGTGTTAATTCTATAAGCTTGACAGCAAATCCAGTGGTGATGTGACCACTCTTTTATCCTGAATCGCGAACTGAACCTGTAAAGCACAAGATTATTTGTAGATTTGTGTGAATATAATACATGCTTGGAGCAGACTCTACTTGACACAAATAGTGGACCCGTTGTTACTGAATCAGAGAGTATCAAAGTAATGCTATTTTACATGAGTATGTTGGAAAAATAAAAAAGTAATCATTTCAGGTTTTAAGTCAATTTAATTTAAATTATTATATATACATTCACAAAAGTAATCAATTTACATTCTTGCATTTTTAACAACATTAATCATTCATGTTTTGCAATACAGCACTCAGGCTAGACTATGAAAGTCTAATGAGGATTGAATGCATCCAATGAGTAAGCAGTACTTATTTCACCCACACATATCCATTCAATCAAGTACAAGTAGAGGTGCACTACACAAATAGGATCTGGTATACTATGTTGATGTTAAATAGTTATAATAGCAAGGCTCTTGGCTCATATGAAAGCTTGTAAAAACACTGGAATACTACAGTACGTGTTCTGGTCATATGTTTATATCCTTCACTGGTTATGATGTTTTGATTGTTATATTTACAAGGCAGCATTCACAAGTACTAGACAACACTCAATCCTGTAAAAGACAGTTTTTTTTTCTTTTATAAATGGTCATTTATTTAAAAAAAAAGGTTGTAGTGATGGTGACCAGGCTCAACTTGGTTTCAACCTGGTTACATTGTATATTAACTGCTCTTAGGTAATGTTAATGTTTATTCTAATTAGGTCATGTATATTCAGATTGATTTCCATTGGAATGAGTTACATTTTTAAAACACTTATCAACTCATCACACCCTTGATATACAAGTATTTTGGAAGATGATAAGATGGGGAGGATGTGTACATCTCTATCTCTGTGTAAGAACTATTCTCTGTGTGTAGTTGCTCACGTAGGCATGAGTAATAGTTGAATTACACATCAATCAGGAATAGTGATATACAAGAGGAAATAATCTCAAGCATTCATTAAACAGTTCACTTTAACAGCCAAAATAACTATTACTCAAGTTCAGCTCTAAACAGGATTTTAATGTAGCTGCAAATTTAGTTTGTCTTGTTGGCTCACATGCAAACACTAATGCCTAAATAATCATTAAAGGTTTGAGGCACTTAAACATCACCTCTTGTCCACACAGTAGATCCACTTACATCCCCAGCATCAAGATAAGTGATAGTTTTCTCACTCCTCTTAGTCCATCGAGTTCAGTCGTTGGAGCAACTGGTCTGCCTGCAGTATGGAAACATGACATTAAACCAAAGTGTATGGTTATGTTAACATTAGCCTTTTCTTTATACAGTGTAATGTTTTGCTTAGTTTTTTCTTCTTATCTATGTAACATCTGTAAGAATTTGATGAAAAGCTTAACATGTCTTTGAGGAGGGCACTGTGAACTGTGACCTCTATTACTGTCTAGCCTTGATTTCTGGTGTACTGACTTTTATAATTACACTTTTATAATGGGGCCATATGTAGGAAAGTGTACGTAGGATCCCCACTAAGGTGATAAGTACACATATTTCTGACCATGCAAAAACCTGTTTCTTTTTGATATTCGAGTATCCACAAGAGTTGAATCTATGAATCCGTGTATTTATAAAAATGGGTATAATGGGACATCCCTACTAAAAGGCGAAAACTAGATCAGCTGAAGGGCTCTTACATGGATTTAACTAAAGCCACAGTGTTCAGGGCAGTTGTAAACAAAAGAGGTTTTCATTCTATGCCACAACTCAATTTAAAATAATGGTGCTTGTTGTAATCTGGACAAAAGCTCACACAACACAAACTGACAGAGTTGTTCTAAACTGAACTGTATAAAAACGTTTTCAAGTGAAAGTCTAAAACCACCCTTACAGTGTCTATTTACAGTGCTCACCGTAATAAACCAATAGGAGCCCGGACGGAAGATCAAGCGAGACATGAAGCCCATTTGACTGACAGGTGCCAGAACATGGAGATGCAGATGTACAACAGAGTGGAATGGAGGCCAGTGGAACCCAAACCTAACGCACATTATACATGTTACACTTCAGACAAAAAAGACCACATTACAGAACGGATTATACAGAGTAAAATAGGAACTTTTAGGTGGAAAAGTATTAAACTTAATTCATTTTACCTGACATCACTTAAATCCGTGACATTGTTCTTCTGAAGAATATCTTTCCCAGTTTCCACCAACTTTTCCACTAAGAAAAACAGTTGAAGAGATACACAAATAGGTACTCTCAGAGTCTGTAACTAAATAGATCTTATTCTGTAACATCCTTAATAACTTGGTAAGCTCAGTACTGTAGCGGTAAATGTCTTTACGGTTTCTAAATGTTTTGGCCAGTATTGTGCTTTTACCTAGTGAAATATGTTCTTTTCGAAGCGATTTACAATTCCCTACATGTTTTGTTGGCACAATGAGATAGTGATGAGGAGCCCCAGGTCTTATGTCTCTGAAACAGGATATTTCTTCATCCTGAAAAAGAATGAATACTAAACACAAGCATGCCATGTAAAATATAAAACATAACATGATGCCTTTAATGACATCTGGAAGAAAAGTCCAGCTTCCAACTGTTACAGGCAGCCCTGTGTACTGTTTTCCTGTAGTTGGCAGTATTTGTCTTTATCAGCTTTTACTCTTAATAAAATGCACAAAATGCACTTATTCTGTACAGTCACTTAAAAGCCATTTGTATTTACAAAAATACTTATGTGCTCTGGTCTGATTCAATGACCGCAGTAGTTAACACACCAACCAAGCAAAGTGATACAGGTCAATCACCTTGAACCATCTAAATAGCTAAGTTACCTCTTCATAAATACTCTCAACAGTAAGGAGACAGCTAAGGAATACCAGTATCCTTCCTTATATATTAAGTTATTACAGAAGTCACAGCTGTAAAAACCTTAACAAAAAGATCTAAAGTAATCCTATAAGAAACTATATGAATACTAGACTACCTATAACGTTACTATAATAATTCTATAATAACATTTACACCTAAAATAGTCCTTATAGTAATCTATAATACACGGGTAAAATAGTGTAGTGTACTATACAGATTGTCTGGATTTACTGTATATGGGAATCCTGGAGAAATTCCTGTGTTAGTTATTACTACGTTAATGTTAGTTCTTTTTCATAACAGAGAAGCTCTAGTTATATAGGCGATTGTCCAGCACCTGTCAACCAACTGACAGACAAGCAATGGGGTTTTTGGTAAGAAATTCTGTGAACAACAGCTGGTAGAGGTTGTGTGTTTTGCAGGTGGATAAAGCTCTGATTAGCTAAAGGAGCTATGAGCTACATGTAAGGCTAGCTGGCTAAAATCACCTTACAGGAATTCATTGCTGGCTTCACATGTACGTTAAACCACGCAGACTCCCTCTCTCACTTACATGGTGCAGGAGCTCAGTGTCCATCTCCCCGTTCACAATTTTGCAGAAAATACATTTTTTATCGTAAGTGTCGCTCTGCTGTGTTTGGACAGGCTCTGCTGTCGGTGCGCTGTCGCTGCTGGCCATCTTCAAAGCTTACTCTAATGACATCATAGCAACATGGCTGACTAATGACTTTCAAGATACAAGTCCTGTTTATTTTCGAGCTGTTAGTGAGTTTAAGAACATTTAACACATCTAACATCCAGATTTTTCATAATTCTGTTTTAATTTAATTATTTCTATTCATATTAGTAACAACACAACAAAACAACAACAATAATAAAATCAGTAAATATAAAATTATTAATAACAACAACAATAATAATAATAATGCAAACCTGTTATTATTATTATTGTTGTTGTTGTTGTTGTTGTTGTTGTTGTTGTTATTATTCAATTTAGTTACATTATCTTACCCAAACGATTGTCAAATGGTAGAGCGAGCATCACACCGAATACTCTCTCTACCAGTTAAGATTAAATAACACTAAGATACTTTTGGGAAACTCAGCCGTGGATGATTACACAAAACATCAAATGTGGTGCTACTGTATCATTTATCATAGATTTGTTAGCATGAAGTAACTCAAGGATACAATATCATCCAACTAATGGAGAATGAGTAGATAGTGACAGAAAAGAGTCTTTTTAACCACACTCATAAATGATTTAGTGGTTAGTGTTGCCAACTCCATCTGGTAGCAATCTTGGAGATATTTAAGGTGGTGGGGCTTTACTGCCACTACATATATAGTTCTTAATCTGTCACTACTCCAACACCCTTCTTAATATCAGCAAATTATATATATATATATATATATATATATATATATATATATATATATATATATATAGTCTGTTATTGTAGAACTACAAAGTGCACCTATATAATAAGTGGAGCTGACAAAATGGACAATGTGTGTACAAATAAGGAGGTCATAATGTTATGCCTGATTGGTGTGTGTGTGTATATATATATATATATATATATATATATATATATATATATATATATATATATATATATATATATATATATATCCATATCAACAAAACTGAATTTTGAGCTTTGCTGAACACGAGTTCGATGTAGTATGCATTGTTAAAGTTTCAAAATGTATTTTGTGTATCACTGATTGATACACTTATTGTTCACTATTATTATTTACAATGGGTATAATTTATACGTTGGACCTACTTCTGAGAATGCTGCACATATTTTGCACATTTTGGTCATACGTTGTACACCCTGTCTATGCAGCAGTGAACTTCTGTGTCTCTAGTCTGCTTATTGTATGCTCTATTTATTGTTTTTATACTTGTTGTGTATTAAACATATTGTCTGTTGTCCCATTAGTACATGTGCATTTATGTCCTTGTCATCTGTAGCACTTTATTCAGAGATCTCAGTGTGTTTGCATCTCTACAAGTTTGTCTCAGAACATGCTTCAGAGGAAGAAAACAGCAACAGCACCTCGATGTCAGAGGTCTGGTTCTCATTAATGAGTGCATATCCACATTTTAAACACTTTAACGCTCCTCAAACCTTATTTGTATTCTATTCTATATTTTGCAGCTCTGCCAGTATTGCATCTTTTTGTGCTGTACATAATCCAGTTATTTATTACGCTACCCTTGAATCTTGTTAATAATGGTTGTGATGGGTTACCTTCTCTTCAAAGACACCTTGAATTTGGAGCTTGGATGTCTTTCAGATGATTAAAAGGCTCTAGAAAGCGAAGCTGTTCTCCATTTACTAGCCAGTGTTCATTTCTGTCAGACCGATGAGGCTAAATGTTATGATGTTGATCTCATTAGAATGCAGTGTGAGTGCACTGCCTAGAGAATTAAATTTGTGCAAGCACTTTTGTAAACTCATTTGTAAACAAAAGAGCATAGATGTCGATGATATTAGGAAAGTGGAGGCACTGTTAATGTTCAAGGTCTAAGTATTTTTTTTTGCGGGGTTATTAACATGCTAACCAAGCAATGTCTTGCTTTGCAATTACCACAAGACAAATGTCTGGGAGAACTTTTCAGAGATTCTATTTACAGATCACAGTACTCAACAATAAATGAACATATTCTCAGATGAGTCTATAACAGATCAATAACTGCCTGCTTCAGTCCACTGCTGCTCCCACAATCTCAGTGCCATCTCATGAACTAAGCCAACAAATTGCTATACCCCATATCAAAATCTTGCAAAGTTGATTAGAAAGTGGGTGGCTATGTGATGTGTTTTTGTTAAAGGCATGTACGTAACTTGCCACAAATTGCATGCTAGAGTCTAGCACAACACCAATGCTAGGCTTATCACTCGGGAACATGTCCACTACAGAGGAGACTGTTCAGTTACATCATCCCTCAGAAGAGTTCAGATTAATAACCAGCTACTCAGATATATATATATATAATATATATATATATATAATATATATATATATATATATGTATGTATTATTATGTGGTTAAGTATTCCAAAAGTATTCTCCTAAAAATGTAAAAAGTAACTGTATTCTGACATGACTTAAGACAAGTCTTGTATTACATTGCTAATGGTGAATTGCAATGGAAATTCTGTTTAGTCTATACTTAGGCTTAATCTTGGTCAGGAAAAGCAGCCCTATATGTGCAAAAATATCCATCCATTCAATAACACGTATACAGCTTGTATAATCTCCACAGAACAGCATTAACAATAGAATGGCGTGCTTAGAGCAGCCGCAGTTCAGCTAGAGGGGTACAAACTCCTGATTAATAACCTTGCTTGTAATATCATGAGATTTTATTCCATGTACCATTTCTGGTTCCACTCATGCTAAAATGTTCAGGCAGCTGGCATGTTTGATGTTTATATTCATTTTTGTCACTGAAATTTATTTATCTATGTTTTGTTTCACTATTTAATATGATGGTTACTCTTTATACTAGATTATATTATTGTATGTTATCAAGCTTGCTTCTTTTCAGTGCCCTCCCCCAAAGCGATAGCCACATCTTCAATTATTTTGCATGTAATCACTTTATAAACTCAACCGGAACAATATCTCTTGCCTGATGGGTGTATGAAACATGTTTTGTCCTTCCTTATTTTATTGCTACCTAGAGAAATCATTTTATGGGATTTGGTATCCGCCACAGTGACAGTAATTATGCAGATAGGACATCTGCCCTAAACACATGCACAGCAGCCCCAACACACAAACACAGACACACATCTTATTTCATCACATCTTAGACACAGTGTTGATTCTCAGTATATGCAGTAGCAGAATCAGAGAACACTGTTTGTCAGGTTGTTTGTTCTTGTTCAATATTAGTGCACAGTTTTTATTCTGTTCTATGAAGCATGAGCAATGCCACTGTGCTTGAGAAAGAGCATCTGTGAATATTTCGCTCCCTTTGGGGGAGAAAAGGAAAAAAAGAGCCAGATATTTTGCATCACAAACTGCTGCAGGAATGCCTGAGGAACTTCAGATGTATCACTCCTGCATGTTCTGAATTGATTTGGGAGGGAATAGAGTGAGAGCTCTCAAAGGGTTAAAGTTGAGCAGTCAAGAAAAGCAGAGAGGATAAGTAGGTGCCAACATCATCTTCTAAACTGTGTTTAGCAGGTCAGCCTACCAATTAATCCTGTGCACTCCAGTTTGTTAGTACACACATTTAGCACAATGTAATGTATGCAAATGATGCCATTAAAATGCATGTCCATGTTTAGTTTCTAAATTAAGTGCTCATTTGCACTACTGGCACTCCGAACAATCCAGAGATTCATTACAACAAATTACAAAAATAATCACGACTTGAAACATCAAATTTACCCTCCTTGTTCATTCTCTCCTATTTACCCGAAGAATATGAAAATAATTTACTTGCCAATCTGCAATTTGCAGGCACAATATAGGAGGTCATAAGCTTGCCAAAGCTATTATGCTAATTGTTGTTTTGCAGCTCCATACAATAAATCATGACCCAAAACTTGCTGGTATGCAATTATAGCTGGCTATGGTGGTGTAATTATAAGGCTGCAAAGAAGAGAATTAACAATGGCATACACTGTAAGTATAAATACTATATATTGTAGTGAGAGAAACGTACAGAATAATCAGAACATTCTCTACATTGCCCCCTCCTAAATGATTCATGACAGAAAATCAGCACGGCCACTGTGAAATTTCAGTGTTTCTGTTTCTGTCCCGAAGTGGTTGTGGAATTATTCATGAGACACAGACTTTGTAAATAGATCCTGCTGATTAAAACAGGAAAAGCAGAGAGGTGTAAAAAAAAACACACCCAGGGATCTCAGGAGAGAAGGCAACATGGCATGGAAATAATACGTTTCTTTAATCATTTTCTGACTGCATTGTGACCCCCTGCTATTCCAGATTCCTGCTGTGATCAGCACTGCTGTCACTGGTTACTCTCACGATGCATGAATCTAATGCACTTCTTGCATGTTGGTATAAGAATGTGTTTTGTGTAGTATCCTGCCATGCAAACCCTAAACGTCGCTCCAGTGCATTTCAGGAAGTGTGTGCATGCCTCTGTGAGCACTTAATAAGGTGTAATTAGCGTTTCTGATTAGAGATGACAGCCTTCAAAAGAGCATCCCTCATCCCTGCCAATCAGTCAAATTGTCCCAGTAGTTATGCTAACCTATGGTGAAGCCCAACAGTTACATTATTATTTATAAAGGAATATTCCAAAATTGAAGGTGAACGTCTTTAAACTCACTTTAATCCTGACTTTTATAGTACATAGCAGGACGTTTTGTATAAAAAGTTTCCTGATTCTTTTGAAGAACACTGTATATAAAGAATGGCTCTTACACTTGTTGTAATCAGTAGTTTAACAGCCAGCAGTGCAGGCTGGGCAAACACATCGAGGGCTTATAGTATGGGGGTGGACACTGGCAATAAGGCCTCTTAACAGCTTTATTGGACCCTTAATAAATCAAATCAAATCAAATCACGTTTATTATCACATCACATTTACACAGGTGTGAAGGTGAGTGAAAACCTTAGGTGCATAGCCCCCTTGTAGTACTTAAATATACAAAAAGTACATAAGAAAAGAAACAAAAAATATATACACAAC